CAGGTCCTCAGAGCCCTGTCCAGCCTGACCTTGAGTGTCTCCAGAGATGGGGCATCCACCACCTCTCTGGGGAACTTGTCATCACCCTTAGTGTAATAAACTTCTTCCTTATATTCAGTCTGAACATCCCATAGTCCCAGCATATCATTATGTGACTTGGGCAGCCTGTGTAATGGAGGAATGTGCCTTTTGTCTGGCTTTGTGCCGGTGGAGATGGAGTGCATCTGGTTTTAGCCCACATTCTTGTTTTGTCAAAGAGCTTCACCTCTATTTTAGCAGGACCACGAGTGGTCAGAGTTCAGTACTTACAGAAGAAAGTGATTTCTGTCCTTTACTTTTTTAAATGACGTAAAGACACACACTGCTGTATCTCAAATCTGGTGGCTCAAAATGGCTGCCATTCAGTTCCGAACATAAATAATTTAGTTGTATTGCGATACATAAAATAATCACTAAGTGTTGTTTTGCTGATTACATAGCTTCAGTAAATTCTGGTTTGTTAGCTGGTTAAATGGAGCATTCTTTAGAGGCTGTGTGTGTTACAGAGAAGTCTTTGCTGTGCTCAGCACTGACTGTCTGCAGGGGGCTATGGAACATGAATTGAGTCTGAGCTGACCACTGAGCTTTTGGAGGAGTGAGGCCACGCTTTTTCTCAAATGCGTCAGTTATTTGGGTAGTCAACAAGGATGAAGCAGTACAAGGAGATGCAAGTGGGCTGCTTTCCCAATTCCTTTTTTCCTGTGCTGGAGAGACAAAAAGAGGTGGATTGAGATAAAGACAACGTTAACAGGTACAGTGAAAGTGGCAAAGCAAAATAAAAAGATCATTTGCTTCTTCCCTTCAGCAGGCAGATGTTCAGCCACCAGCAAAGCAGGAATATTAGTATTTGTTTTTTTGATCTGCAGGAATATAGTGGCAACATCAAAATCTGCTTTCCAGCAGTGTGGCAGGAATGTGAGCTGTGGCAAACAAAACACTTTAGAGAAGCTGCTGGAGCTCGTAGCAGGGAAGCCTCTTTGAATCACTCTGATGTTCTACTTTTTGTTTTACATGTGGGTGATGTGACTTCGGCATTGCTCCTTGTGCAAATTAAAAAGTTATTTTTAGCAGCTCACAGATAAATACATTCATTCTTTTTTCCTTTTTATGCAGTTTTTTTTTTTTTTTTGATCAGCAAATTAAATCTCCCTGAAGGTTTCAATGACATTTGCAATGATTGTGATCTGCTTCTGTTGATTTTTGCTAACTAAATTTAACATGATTTACTTTTGGTTTCAGCTGTTAATCCTAGATACGTGCTTAGGAATTGGATGGCAGAATCGGCAGTGCAGAAAGCTAACCTGAATGATTTTTCAGAGGTAAAATTAGTTCGCTTTTTTATGGAGATATCAGCTAATAATTGACATAGAATCGTATCATAGAATACCTGGGTTGAAAAGGACCACAATGACCATCTAGTTTCAGCCCCCTGCTCTGTGCAGGGTCACCAACCAGCAGGCCTGGCTGCCCAGAGCCACATCCAGCCTGGCCTTGAACGCCTCCAGGAATGGGGCATCCACAGCCTCCTTGGGCAACCTGTTCCAGTGCGACACCACCCTCTATGTGAAAAACTTCCTCCTGATACCTAACCTGAATCTCCCCTGTCTGAGTTTAAAACCATTCCTCCTTGTCCTAATGTCTGTGAATGTTAATGAAAAGGCGGTTGCATTTGCTCATTGAATGCATAGTACACCATGGCCAACACTGTTTTATGTCCTAACGATAACTTATTATTAATACTATTGCTAATATTAGCAATATGAGGAGTGTTAATTAAATTGTTTACCATAATAACGGCAGCACTACTCATAGCAATCAACTCGTGGAATTGTTTCTGGAGCAAGGAAGGTGCATAATGTGAGGTGGCAGAGACTGCTCGGATTTGCAGGAAAACGTTTTGTATAAAAACATGCCCCATTTAATTGCTTCTAGGTTCAGCTCCTGCAGCGGGTCTTACAGCGTCCCTTCCAGAGGCAGCAGGCTGCAGAGAAGGCAGGCTATGCCTTGCGCCCGCCCGCTTGGGCCAGGGGTCTTAAAGTGAGCTGCTCGTCCTGAGGGAAGCTTGAACAAGGAGAACTGTCGGACTTCAGACCTTCTGATGGGAGCGAGGAAGCCGCACTCCCTCGTGCATTGTGGACTGGAATCTGCTGCTCTGCTAGACAACTTCTTGACCAACTTTATAAAGTCTAAAGATTAAAGAAATGGACCCTGTGTGTTTGCATCAGCAAATTGCTCCGGTGCTTGTGGCCGTCTTGGGAGTGACTTACCCAAAGTACCTTCGCCAGAGACAGGTGTGTGCTAAGCCTGCTGCTCTGCTCTCGTTCTCCGTTCCTCTCTTCTTTCTTCCTATGAGGGAGATGATAGGTGCATGGATAGAATGACTCAGGGAATTTTCACAGGTGGCACGTGGAAATGGGCTTCCTTGCAAGTATCCTGTTACGTGTATTCTCAGGTTCATACACCTTTTGTACTCGGCTTCCTGCTGATCTGACAAACGTATTTCCAAGCTGTTACTTAGCAGCATACCTTGAATTCTAACAGCAGGGCTCATCTTTGTTTTAGTCCAGTGTCTGTCTGACATTGCAATTCCAGATCATGAAACTAAGTGTATAAATTAAAACAAAATTAATATATAAGCAATCAGGTGCAGTGTAATACTACAAAGCTTATAGCAAAATTCGCTTATCTGGGGCTTTTTTACTTCTTGATGCTATCTGAGCTCTTCCCAGTTCCAAAATGGATTGTTTTAGAAGATCCAACTGTCCTCACTGCTGCTTGCATCTGAAATGAAGGCTGTGCTATGATTAGCAATTCATAAATCTGTTTCTATACAAATATAATTAGCCAGGGAAAAATATATTATTAGAAATATTCCACTGGCTAAAAAAAAACATACGAATGTGTTTGCTTCTTAAGTACAGTCAACACAGTTATTTGGGATGTTTTTTCCTTGGCTATATGGTTGCTCAGCCTGAGTTAACTCCTTTTGCAAGCAGTAAGTGCTCTTCTGCAACAGCTGGGATGAGCATTTGAGGCAGCACTACCCCAGCTAAGAGCAGTGGGCTGGTGGGAGCTCCTGTAGGAGCCCTGCTGCAGCTGGTGGCATTCACAGCCGGAGGGAACACTGCTGCTGATAGCTGTTCTACAGGAATTTGAAAATGAAATGAAAGGAATTTGAAATTGAAAATACCAGTGAAATGGTACCTTGACTGTTCTGCTTTCATAAAAATCACCTGACTGTTGCAGGTAATCACGCTGCCATAGGGTATTTTGCAAGACCATGACAATTTGTAAGTCCTAACTATACTGAATCTCTTCTGCTCTTCTTGTCTCTCTCAAAGAGAATGCACGTTTCCCAGTTAGTATGAGGCTGTTAATGGTAACTCGTAAATAAGAGTTTGGTACTTTTTCACTGAGAGGGCAGTAAGGCACTGGCGCTGCTGCTCAGAGGAGCTGTGGGTGTCACATCCCTGGAAGAGCTCCAGGTTGGATGGGGCACTGGGCAGCAGCATCTGCTGGGGATCAGCCCTGCCCATGGCAGGAGGTGAAACCGGATGGGCTGTAAGGTCCTGTCCAGCCCAACCGTTCTGTCATTCTCCGATTGAGACTTGTGCCACATGATCATCTTAAGTTTCTATTTGTTCTCAAAGTGCATGAAAAAGAACACTTGAACAACACATGAAATTATCTCAACGCTACCACAGAGAAGTGAGCCCACATCTTGCTCAGAATTTTGTACCACCTGACTTTCTATATCTGGGTTTTAATTCATGGTGGTTAATGATTACAGTGTAAGTGTTAATACTGGGTTTCCTGACATACTTCCTGAAATTCTTACATTGGCTTTTGCCTGATGCTCTGGAGCTGCCTCTTGCTTCACATTATGTAAACATGACAGTGATGCAGAAGCAGATGGGCAGTAGCAGTACTGAGGCTGGCTGAGGTGTTTGTGCTGTCCTTTCCACACCAGAGGGCTGCCAGGAGATTGAGCAGCGGTGAGCCTCACATGCAGACATCGATCTCTGGAGTTTTGTGTAGGCTTTCATTCTTCTTGTTTTGAAGACAGCTCAACTGGTTTTCCTTGTGAAGTGTTAAGATGTGGGTTATGATTGACGGAGAATGTGAAATGTATAAAATTGAGTTTATTGTGCTGAAGCAAAAGAAAAAGGAGGAAATGGGGCAGGAGGCTGAGTGTTCTTGGGAGAAGAGTGAATGCTGGGAAAGCTGTGTGAAAATCTCAGTGCTCTGTCAACAGGGAAAGTGGCTTTTTGTGCAGCCATGGTTTAAGTTGACACTGAGTATATTTTTCATAAGAGAAAATTCATTTGGTTTAAAAGTGGTTGGATAGCAGACAGCTGTTCTCCTGTCTGAATCAAACCTCTGTACTCTCAATAACTGGGCACAAAACCCCCAGCCCCTCTGCATCTAGTGGTTCTGCAGAATGTTCATACCAGTTAGATATGGAAAACAAATGAGAGATATGGATCCTATATTGTTATTTTAACCCTTAATTTTAATCCTCCTCCTTTTAGTCGGTGGGTGGGTGAGCCCTGTTTAAACTGCTCATGTATCCCCAACATGGTGCCCTGGCAGTCTGTACCCAATCCACCCGTCTGTGCAGGAACACATCCAGCTCTGTGCATGAGACAGACTGGGAGAAACAAAAGTAGGGGACCAAAAAGGGAGAGGCAAAAACTCCCTGCAAGGAATCAAATCCAGGTAATTAACTGCGACGCTGCAGTTACAAAACAGAAGCTATTTTTATTTAAGCGCTAAGAGTGACTGCTATCTAAATGAACAATAGAGAATTAAAGTGGAGAACAAAGGGGAAAAAAGTAGGAAGAGATGTATTCATCTCAGGTATGAGATAAAGTCTTTATGAAGACAGACTACTCTTAGGTACACTTTGAAGACAAATGTTAACGAAGAGATGACAACCTTGCTACTGGGGGGATGCAATGTTTTGAGGTAAGAATTTTTCTTTATTGAAAATTAATCAAATAAATGAGATTTAAAGGCAGGAACAGGGGAGGGAAAAAAATCTTTTTTTAAGACAGGCTGCTTTTGGGGGAAAGAAAGGAGGGGGGAGGGTGTCTTTTGATTGTGAAAATAAAATAGTGCGGGGTTTTCTAAAAGAGAACCCTTAAGGGGAAATCCGTTAAAAGGGACGATCCCACTTCTTAGGCACAAGACTGCTGTTGTGTGGTTTCCTTTGGTTCTAATTCTACAGAAGAGGAGCCACAGAAGTATGCTGAACTGGCCAGCACTGAGTGCTGCTCCACCACACCATGGAGTATAAAGAGGCTGCAGCCAATTTCTGACATCCTGCTGCTGGGGGGTCATTAGGGTGTGTGGGGTGAGGAAGGAGCAGGTTGTGGGGGAAAGTGGGGGGCAGAGGGCACCTCCTCACTTCTTGGAGCCCCCAGGGGGAACTCTCAGAAAATTCCTTTGGTGGTAGGGCCTGATCCAGCACGACCTTCGGCGACGCAACAGCAGCTCTGGCTTAAAGTTCACCTGTCCTCACATCAGGAGCTGCCGCCCCTTTTCTTCTCAAGAGCTTTCATTAGGTCAGACATGAAATCTGCTTGCCTGCCTCCACCCCCGATCTGAGGCGGCCCAGCTGCTCTCGGCTCTCCGTCTTGTACCGCGTTCCCTTGCCTTTGTGGGGGAAGCAGCACGGGTTTCTTTGTCAGAGCTGGAGGCTTATTGGAGACGGGTGGAGGCGGAGGGGGTGGCGGCAGGTCTGCATTGCTGCTGCTGATGGATGGGGGTGGCGGCGGAGGCACAAAATCAGGAGGAGGTTCACAGAGGTCAGCTGGTGCTGGCGGTGGTGGCAAATTGAGCATCAGGGAAGGCGGTGGTGCCGGAAAGCTTTCTGGGTCTGTTAGGAAAATACCGCTGTCCCGTTTCACTTTGGAGGGTAGGACTGGTGAAGCACTAACAGCCGATGACCGCCGTTCAGGTGGAGGAGGAGGCTGCAGCGAGTTCCTCTTATTCAGCTGTTTGTGCCTCAGTGCTGGCGGTGCCAGGCCAGGTGCATTGATGTCATTTGCCTTAAGCAGAAGGAATAAAAGAACAAAGTCAGTGGGTGTGTAAACTAATGGCACTGCCCAGACAGGGAAAGGAGGCACATTTTGCCTGAGGAATGCAAATCGTGTTTTGTTCCCCTTTGGGGAGTTGCCCACAGAGCTCTGGCAGTGGAAACCTCCATGTTTAGGGCAGCACTCACTGTGTTTCTTTGAATGTTGTCCTCAGAAAATTAGTACTTTTAAATTTTGAAAGAATTGCAGTTAGTGAGACATATAAAAATACTTTTTCAACGTTCCCCACAGCTGTTCCTTCTCTGAGAACATGAAAACCTTAAAGAAAAGTCTGTGGTGGTTTTTTTTTTTTTTTACATCCTGGGGAATACCAAACAAGATTTGAGGACATAAAAAGCAGATACAGCTTTATTTCTTGTCACCACTGCACTACCTTTTCCTGTTCTAACTGTGACTGTGGAGTCTCTGGATAAAGTTAAAAACTTGAAGCCACCTCTCTGTACCAAACTCATTGCACACAACAGGAATGGAAGGGGAGGAAGGTGGACATACCTGGGATTTCAAGGTTCCTGTGTCCAGATTCACAGTGCCCATCACTGCGAGCACGGTGTGACAGGCACCCACCTGCAGAGCACTGCGCCTCTGTGCAGGAGAGAGTGCTGCAGAGTGCTTGTGAAAGCTGCCTGCATCAGCTCTGTGCATGGCTATAGTGAAGGACTCCAGTGGGGAGCAGGCAAGGGGCTGGGAAGGGCTGGGCAAAACACTCACACTCTCCTTCCAAAAGCAGCCAAATTGTCCCTGAGGCCACTGGGTTCCAGCCGTGTTCACAAGGTCAAATGCTCCAATAACTTTTTAAAGTAAAAAATGAATCAAACCATTCATCACACAAGTAAGGAAAAAACAGAATAGCTGTTTGTTATGGTTATGTTTGTTTTGGCAAATTATGATGTAGATTTTCTTTTAAATTGTGTTTGCTAGTTAACACTGAAGATAAATAAAGCCTTGGCAATATAAATAATATATAAATAATTGGCAATATCTGAACATAATTTTCTCTCTGATTTTTTTAGGTGGCAGTCAGTAGCTGTTGACAGTTACTATACAAACATGCTGTTTACTCTTGTAAACCTGGGGAGAAGTGTGCTTCCCTGGAAACATAAGCTTTCCACCACATTCATAGAATCACAGATTGTTTGAGTTGGAAGAGACTCCTAAAGGTCATCTCGCCCTGCACCCCTGGATGAACAGGGACATCTGCACTTGATCAGGTGCTCACAGCCCTGTCCACCTGACTTTGAGTGCCTCCATAGACGGGGCACCCACCATCTCTCTGGGCATCCTGTGCCTTATCATCCTTACTGTAAAAAGCTTACTTATATATTCTTAGTTTGAAACCATTTCTCCTTGTCCTATCACAGCAGACCTTGCTAAAGAGTCTGTCTCCTTTATTACAGCTCCCTTGTAGATACTGAGCCTTCTCTTCTTCAGGCTGCACAGCCCCAGCTCTCTCAGCCTGTCCTCATAGAAGAGTTGTTCCATCCCTCTGGATGCACCTCAACAGGTCTGTATCTCTCCTGTACTGAGGAATGCATATCTGGACACAGTACTTCAGATGAGCCTCACCAGCACAGAGTGGATGGGCAAGATCACCTCCCTCACCCTGCTGGCCAGGCTTCTTTTGATGCAACCCAGGGTACAGTTGGCTTTCTGGGCTGTGAGAGCACACTGCTGGCTCATGTCCAGCTTGCCATCCAGCCCGGGTCCTTTTCAGCAGACTTGTGCTCCATCCTTATCTCCCCCTGCTTGTACTGATAGTAGGGGTTGCCATGACCCAGGTACAACACCTTGCAGTTGGATATGCTGAACCTCATGAGGTTCTCTGGGGCGTACTGCTCAAGCCATTCACTTCTAGTTATGCTGATTTACTAGTTTAAATCCAGCAAGCTTAGAGCTCCAGCTCCAGCTCAGTCTACCCTTAAAGATTTCAAATGAACCCTCCAATCCCAGGTTTATAGAAGCTATGAGTTTTTGCAAGTGAAAAGCACTCTACTGCCCAGCAGTCAGCAGTCCTAATTTTGGCATTAACAAGCTTGCCTTCTCTTGCTCTCACTCATTCGTTAAAAAGAAGGAAGTAAACAAGACACTGAGGAGGAGGAGGGAACCACTGGCTGAGTTCTGAGAACACAATCTATTTCAGAGGAAGTAAGGTTCAGAGCAGAGAAACAGATCTTTTGAAAGGAGGAAGTCAGACAGAAAGAAGAAGTATATGACACACAGAGGAGGAGGCAAAAATTCTAGGAATTGAGTTCCACACGTCCTATGCACTTAATGCATGATGTAAGGATATCACTGATAACCTTCCATCAAACAAATGGCATTTTTCTGTGTGACACATAAATACTTTTGAAATCCTCATGCTCTATTCTGCTGATATTTTTTACAGACAGAAATGGAGCAAGCATGTAAAATCTGGAACTTAACAAAAGAATGCTGTTAGGGTTTGCTGAAAACATGTTTTCCCTTACTTAGAATCATAGACTCACAAGGTTGGAAACGACCTACAAGATCATCCAGTCCAACCGCCTCCTCATCACCATTGCCTCCACCAGCACTAAACCACATCACACAGCACGTCATCCAGACGCCTCTTGAACACCGCCAGGGACGGCGACTCCACCACCTCCCTGGGCAGCCATTCCAGTGCCTGACCACTCTGAGAGAAAAAGTTCTTCCTTATGTCCAACCTAAACCTCCTCTGATACAACTTGCAGCCATTACCCCGTGTCCTGCTCGTTGCCTGGGAGAAGAGGCCAGATCCCTCTTCACCACAGCCTCCCTTCAGGAGTTGTAGAGTGCAGTGAGGTCTCCCCTGAGCCTCCTCTTCTCCACACTGAACAATCCCAGCTCCCTCAGCCGCTCCTCATCAGCCCTGTGCTCCAGACCCCTCACCAGTTTCGTTGCCCTTCTCTGGACACATTCCAGGGCCTCAATGTCTTTCTTGTAGTGAGGGGCCCAAAACTGAACACAGCTTGAGGCGCGGCCTCACCAGTGCTGAGTAGAGGGGGATGATCACCTCCCTGCTCCTGCTGGCCACACCATTTCTAATGCAGGCCAGGATGCAGTTGGCCCTCTTGGCCACCTGGGCACACCGTCGGCTCATGTTCAGCCGAGCATCAACCAACACCCCCAGGTCCTTCTCTTCTTCACACTCATCCAGCCACTCATCCCCAAGCCTGTAACGCTGCATGGGGTTGTTGTGCCCAAAGTGCAGGACCCAGCACTTGGCCTTGTTGAACCTCATCCCATTCACCTCAGCCCAGCGGTTCAGCCTGTCTAAATCCCTCTGAAGGGCCGCCCTACCCTCAGGCAGATCGACACCACCTCCCTTCTTCACACATCAGCTTTTCTCTTTTTTAACATGCACATCCTCAGCTGTGCGGACTCCCTGAGGCCATCCTAGCAGGCACATTCCTATTCCTGTTGTATGAACTCGCAGCTTTGTTCTGCAGAATGAAAGTGGCAGATGGCTGTCCCTCATTTCCAGCTGATGGCTCCTTGGCTTTTGTGCAAAGGGCACTGTTTGCAGGGTGTAAAGCACAAGGAGGAGCCAGCTGCCCTGCTCAAAATCAAATCCTTGTCACAACTGCACATAGGTACTTTGAGAAGGGAAGACATTGGGTAGAGAAAACCGGACTTGGAGAACTGGTTCATAGGTGACACACAAGTAGTGCACTGCTCATAACTGCTCACCTGAGCCTCTGGTGGATCCACTTTCTTCTGAGTCTCTGCTGCAATTTCCGCACTGGAGGGAAGAATGACCCGGGGAATCTGTCCATTTGCCTGAACAGCTCCTGTGACAAAATGGAGGAGGGAGGGGAAAGGTTACACTGTTGTGGTACTACCCACAATCAGTGGATAACAAACTAAGAAAAAGGTTATTAAAAGCCTTTACAACTTCACAAAGGAACCACTTATTACAGGTGTTAAGTAATTCAGTAAAATCCATGAGGATGTCTTTTCTACTTCAGGCTTGTTTTGCAACTTTTCATACTCAACTCATTTCCTTAGGAAAATAAACATCACAGATATTAGCTTTACCTGTCCACATGTCTCCATGATTGTAGCTGATAAACCTATAGGAAAAACAAGTAGAGGAACTATGGAGACGTGGCAAAAATTACCATGGTGCATAACTACAAATGGAGATCCTTTCCTTTTGACTACTGTGCATGGTGATTTCAGAGGAGGATAGCCTGGGCTGACACAGAAGTAGAGCAGGGGAGCTGGCTTTGGAAGAGAAGCTACATAGAAATCAAACAGGCATAGCTAAAGCCACTCTCCAGCCTTCAGCTGTTTAAATATCTATCTATTTCAGAAGAGCACTTTGAAATCTGTGGTGTGTGCTGTACTATTAACTACATTTTGTTTTTTATCACGTTTTCCCCTTTAGATTAGAGACTAAAAGTGCCATCGTTTCCTATCAGTAAGAGTTACGACTTCTGAGGAGTTGAAGTACTACAGATGGGCTGATCTATTTTCTTTCCTAAATGAGCTAACAGGTCTGAGCCTTTCGTCCCATCTGGAATCATGGAACGTTTGTGAACCTCACTGAATTCTCAGATTAGCAAAATTCTGGAAGCTTGCTAAACTAAAGCTCTGCAAAACTTATGCATACTATTAATGTGTTTATAAAGGATATAAACAAATGGCTTGTATATAAACATCTGACCCTTGTCAGATGGTGTAACTGAATGTGAAAAAACATAAAAATTGTGGTTTTAATTAAGGAAGAAATTCCCCAGCCTCTGTATAGTCTGATGAGGATTAAATAAACTCTCCAGTTTAGTCTGGGCTATATGGAAGCCGAACATATCAAAGTAGTAGATAGTGTTTGGTGTCTACATATGCACATTTGCTAATCTTAATGACTGCTTTAAACTCCATCATAATTTACAGTTCTGAGGTCCAGTAAAGTTCCACTCTTGTGATTTCTGGACACAAATGAACCCTTAACTGTCTGCAGTATAAGTACAAGCAGTTTTAATATTAACATGTAGTTTTCTGATTAGCAAAGAGGTTCTGTGACTATGATAGGAAATACAATAAATTATTTTCATTGCCATGCTTGCAAACCACACAATTGACAAAAAAGTAAGACAAACTCTGCATTGTATTCAATTTACTAGGGTTATATTGGCTTCAGGGGACAACAGGTCTGAAGTCCTTGTGTTTCATGCCTGTGCCTACATGCCATCCTGCATATTTAATCCTAAGTACCATTTAGATCATGCCGACTGCAGTCTCGGTTTGCTGAAGGACTGGCAGGGAAGTTAAATAGCGAGGTGAAATCAATCTTGTGGCTGTAAGTGCTCAGCAGAAGGAGATGCTCATCCCTGGATTCAGAGGGCAGGCTCTCAAGCAGAGCGAAATATCATCGCTCTGCAGTTCTTCTGTTGCCTGTAGCAGAGCAGGAGGTTGGGTTCCACGCTGCTCAAAGACACTTTTGCCTTCCGAGATACTGAAATTTAACTCAGTGCAATGAGGCAAATAGAGCTCCACATTAGACACTGCAAGGTGTAGTGCCTTACCTGGCAAACACAGCATACTAGAAAACTCCATTTCTTAAACAGGAGCCAACAACTGCTCACAGTCAGACAGTTAAGGTTATAACATGATAGTTGGGAATCAGGTTTCATAAAAAAGCAGTAATGACAACTGTAAGACAGCAAGAATCACACTTATTTGCCTCCATTAGAATGTTAATGATCCTTCAAAGACATTTTCATAGAGACAACATACATGGCTAAGATCTTTCCAGGCTGCTTAACTACCTAATGGGATCCATTAGTTGAGATTAGCAGTATATTTTATGGCCACACGTCATTTTCCTGGATTCTAGTCAAGATCTCAATTTATACAAATACGCATGAACAATACTAGACCTTGATCCTGTCCCTATCCAGCATGACCACAGCACCAGCATGAAGCTCCTCTGGCTGGCCACCTCTCTTCTGCCATCAACACCAGAACACAATGTGCTCCAAGATTCTGTCCCACCCATTCTCACTGCAGCACCCATGCGTGGCTAACAGTCTGTCACTAACTCTTTCTACCACAAGTGGGCATTTATTAGCCTGATTTGACTCCAAAGCAAATGTACTTCTTCCATGTACTGAGAAAAGGCAAACTGAGGCCTTTGAGAGGTGTTCATAGGGTTTTGATCTATAGTAGCACACATTAGACACCAGATAACTAGTGGCATAAGTAGTGCCCAACACTGATTTTGACTTTGACTGTCTTTATGGACGCAGGTACTCCACCAGCACATCCTTCCAAAAAAGCAATCATTAAAACATCAATGCAAGTTACAGCTAGTACCATGCACTGTTTCATCTGTGCAATAATACAATGGGTAACAGTAAACTGATGAAGCTACTAGAAAAGTAAAGGTAGAGAATAACACAGTGCTTTCCTCCTTTGTCTCCTCTTCTTCACACCCAGTCTGTTATCAGGCAAATGAGCAAAAGGCTAAGAAAAAGAAGGGTTCACCCTGACAGTCCCTTTCTGAAATGACAGTTCTCAGAACAGCCCTCTCACACCTTTTACTCACTGAAGGAAAAGCTGCAAAAAGAAAAATACCTAATTAAATTGTACAGATTTAAATTGACCTTTACTGGGCTGTCTGTATTCTTCCAATTGTAATTTCAAAATGAGGGCTCTGCAGCTAGCTGGTTATAGGTCAGAGCTACAATGAGCTGTCTAGAACTAGGTATTATCTTGCTGAATCCATGGACAATTTTCTGAACAAAGATTATGTCCAATGCTGATAATTAAGAGAGCAGTAAATGCGATTTCCACTGCTCTGAAAGCATGGTACCTGCTGATAAGGATCCTGTGGGGGCAGCTGGTTCCACCGTCCCCTGATTTGTCCACCGAGAAGACAAGCCAGCTTTCTTCACTGCACATTTGTAATTATCATATAATGTCTTGCCATACTACAAAACAATCAAAACAATACAAACAAGCACGGCATTAGGCTTGAAATAAGTCAACCATTCATTTTGCTTTTTGACAGCTTTTCTAACTCCACTACCTCCTTGCTTAGTTTTGCTAAAAAGCACCTTTCAGCAAGTGGAGCCCCTATTTCTGTACAGGACCATGCGGAAAGCATCTCCCTAACATCACAATAAAACAGGAATCCCCATCACTATGATCAAATGCAGTCATACTGATATCATTCTCTTTTTTTTTGCATTTCACTATCTGTAAACATCTCGAAATTTGGCTTTAAATCCAACCACGCTCAATAGATTATCTCTTTCCAGTGCTTTTCAAGTGTTACATTTCCAGACTGGAGACTTGGAGTGCTGAATCATGGATCAAAGTCTGTGCTGTGTAACACAAAATAATTTTATGTCCATCCCACTTTGTTAAATGTCACCCAGCAGCAGAACTGGCAGAAAACAATACACAACCCAAAACAGCAGGTCAGTATGTTCAGATATGGCCACTACACTGGGCTTCGTATAAATCCATCTTCCTTAATGTTTTGTGTGAAACAAAACTGGCTGTGGGTTAGGATCTTTAAGAAGCGAGGGGGGCCATCAATTTGGGTAGAAGTGTCTGAAATACGTCACAGCTGGACTGAACAGAATTCACACAACTTGATCCATGGCATTATATACCAGATGACTGGAGTGAGTTTTATGAGTAGGAACTTTGTAGCTGCGGAATTCACACACTGATAGCTGGAATACAGGAACATTCAGCAAAGCCATGCTGGTAATGCCCTTCTGCCCTTTCTTCCTATGGTACAATCAGCATGAACACACACACGTCCACTCTTGTCACAGTATCTCCAATTGAGATGGTAACAGGACACAGGATTTCACAGAAAATATATTTAAGTAAATATACTTTTAATCTCACCTTGGCAATTCTTATTCCTGTTACCCACTGATGCAGGGTGGCTCGATCATCACAGCATAAGTATTTGATATATTGTGACTCCTTTTGAATCTGGGGATGCTGTAAGATATCAGTTCACAACATGATACAAATGCAAACATCACATCACAGTGTAAACTACACAGTGACCTCACTGAAAACGCTGCCTGTAGGCATCCTGTTAACATGAAGATTACTTGAAAGAAAAAGAAGCAGCAAAAAGAACAAGTAAGAAAACATGAAAAAGATGGTGATCATGAACTACACACAAATTACCATTGGCAACACTTGACCGAAAGAACTTTAATGTACTGCAGCATGAGCATAAGGGCTACAGAAATCTAATAGTGAAGAAATCTATGTAGTGAAGAAGTGCCATGGTTCCAGGTCTAGTGCTCAGTGTACAAACACCAGAACAAAGTATGTTTTCCATTGCTGCTTGTCATACATAAAGCATCCAGACAGAAACTGAACATAATTAGATCCCACAGGGCATGTTAAATTTGGATAAGCATAACCTCTCAGCAGAAACAGATCTTTCCTTCTAATTCACTGCCCTACTTTAGGCCTAGACAGAACTTCCTACACATTTTTATTCTGCTTTACTCTCTGTTTGCTGATAGTTTTGTCAAAATGCCACATGCTTGAGGCAGAAGATTATTAATACAACACTATCAGAAGTAACCATTTCCATTTGTTTGTATCAGAAAACTGAACAGTTTTCAGAACAGAACGTAGATTCTCTTCCCCTTACTGCTCAGTGTAGCAGTGATACGTTATGATGAATCGCTGCAACTCATAGACCCCCCAAATGCCATGCTGTTTGCCTGCCTGAGACTGAACATCTTCTCTAGGACTTGGAAGGAATTTGCTTCATCTGCTATAGCAGGGATGGCTGCAAGTCTTCAATAGCATGAATGGGATGTCCTACTGCCATCTCTTGATTGCCATCTCTTGATATACAAGGAAAATAAAGAGATAAGAGGCTTCCTTATCCCTCCTTTCTGCATTCGTTTCTATTTAAATTGCCATAAATTGTAAGTGCACAGTTAGTGAAATCTTGCAAATACACAAAACTGCAGCAAAGTATGCTCTGAGGATTCATTGCAGTCAAAACACTCAATATGTCCCTTCCAACCAGTGGCCACAACTTGCCACACACACATCATTAAACCCCAGATAGGAGCAGAGCTTCTAGCCCCATGGGACCAGCACAGCACAGGCAGAGCAGCCACCAGCTCAGGCTGGCAAGGTGCTAGTGTGGCACAGAGGGAGCAGACACACGTCCACTAGCAGATGTCTGCTGGTGGCAGGGCTGGCCCCAGGGCTGATGCCAAACCCTGGCCATGGCTGGGTGGTACCAGGGTTCAAAAGCAGAGCTGAACGCAGAGGTTTTGCTCCTCAGCCACACGCCCCTGCTCCTGCCTCAGCAATGCAGACACCAGGCTTCCCTTCCTTGTGCTGAACCAGCCTTGACATGACTCAAAAAAGGAACTGAAGCCATGTTACCATGTAACCCAACAGTATGCAGTATGGCCTCACATGCAGCATGAGGACATGGGAGGCTGTGATACGTGCCCACAGAGCTGGACAGCATTGCTGCCAAAGCCCTGTGTCATCACTGCATGGAGCAAGAGTGAATACATCAGGGAGGTAAGTGAAGAAGGTAAAACAAAGAGATATTACTCTCAAGGGGATTGGCAGTAACAGATGTGTCCCAAGGAACAATCACAAAAAAATAACTGTATGCAGGCACTTCTCTGTGCAGCACCAGACATCCCATGGAGGCAGGTTACATTACCACCAACAGAGAAACGGGGCATTCCAACAAAACACTGCAATCCTGGGTAAATTCAACTCCTCCAGCACCTTTTAAACAGTACTCAGCAATTTTGCTCCAGTGTGCAAGGTCCTATTAAGTCCAGTAGATGGCACCCAAAGCTTTCAAATTTGAGAAGACAAGGATTTCTTTTCCCTTTTCCTGACAGCTAAATCCAATGGGTCTATGTGACTCCTGACATTTTCAAACACCACACCTATCTTCAACAGGCTTTTACTAAAAGAAAAAAATAAATAAAATAAACACCCACACTTCAACACGCAAAAATATTTGGAAGAAAGTGCACACTATATAAACATGGCAGAGGAGGATATGGCATAGGGCAAGCCAGGTCAAGGTGCTGCATAGACCTGCCAAAGGATGTGCAGCTGGGGAGCTCTGAAGGGCTGCAGTATACCTCTCCTCTGGGCAGCCTGCCTAAACCCCATTCACAACAACATCCACAGTGTTAGATTAAAGGTCTGCGAGCCCAGTATCCTGGTTTGACACCAGCCACAAATGGATGCTGAGGAAAGAGGAAGAGCAAGACAAGAACATATCCATAATCCTACTCCAGACTATCCTTAGCTGCAAGTATTTCCACAACAAGGGGTTTTCTGAGCAGAACGTAGCTTCCTTGTATTTAGATTATTTAAGGGATTTCCCCTCCAGCTACTACTTCAGCTTCTTCTCAAGCTCAGGTGGAATTCAGGCATCCGCAACACCTTTCAGCAATAATTTTCCCAGATCTGCTGTGCACCTGATGAAGAACCTTCTCCTTTTGTTCTGAATCTTAATGCAAACCAGCTTCATTTATTGTTCATGCTTTGGAAGAGACACCAAATAGCTGAGCCCTAGCCACACTTCTCTGTGCCACTTCTGAGCAAGAGATGTACACCATACTGCTGGCAAGTTGTCTGTTTTCCAGTCTGCAGACTGATAACCTACATGGTGCTCAATCTTCAGGTCAGGCATTCCCTTCCTTTGCTCACTCTTCTCCATGTGTATTGCATTCTCATTGAATTTAGAGACCCAGAACTGCACAGATGAGGGAAAACTATGGGATGGCAATGTGCTCTGTTTAGCATCTACGCCTCTCCTAATTATTCTTAACATTTGTTTTACTTACCTAAATGCAACCGAACACTGAAATGATGCTTTTGAATGGCACAAGTCAGCACAAAGCCAGAAATTCCATAAGTGAAGCTCTGTTTGCTTTGGTCTTTGTCTCCATACACATCACTGTGCATACTTAGTCTATATTATTTAGACTGTGTTATTTAAGCTGCATTATTTAACCTCCGTCCCATATAGTCCTTCCGGAATTCTTTGGTCTGCCCTTTCCTTGACATTCAGAGTAATGTAACACCATCAGCAAACTTCCTCACCTCACAACTTCCTGAGTCTATGAACATTTTGGAACTGTGGGATTATCGCTGCTTTGAGAAGCTGAGAAAGAACTGTCAGTGGACAAAGCTAACAAGTCTGGCACTAGACAACATGAGAGCTATTTATTTCCAACCTATCCCTTTACTAGCTATCACCTCCACCGTGCAATCCATCTTAACTACTGACATCTACTATGGGACTTATTCCAAATTACCCCAATCAGCAACTGTGATTAAATGCAGTCCCAAGTACATGCTGGTATTTAGGGTCCACACTAGCAAGCTGCTTCACATCCATCTCTCACAAGGAGGGATAAACACTTCAAAGCCTTGCAGACAGTCTGCATCTTAGCTTTCCTTTCAAGGAAAGGCTGGATGTTGTGTTGAGAGACATGGTTTAGTGGGAGCTATTGGGAATTGGGAACGGTTGGACTGGATGATCTTTTAGGTCTTTTCCAACCTCGGTGATTCTATGATTCTATGATTTGTAAGATTAGCTAAGGGCTGTAAGGGCTCTCACTTTCTCAGAAGAACAGGTACATCAACACCAGCTCTTTTTGCACATGTAACTTCACAGATGACATATGAAACGCAAATCTGTAGCGGCTTCATAGCCTGCTAAAGCTGACAGGAAATATCCCCATTCTTTTTCCTCAGCTTTGGATCAGGTCTAAGGAGAACTGTTGCATGCTGCAGTGCAGAGGCTGCTGTGAGCAAGGCCTGACCAGGGGATCATACACAGCAGCGCCAAGCTTCATACTGAAAGGTGCCACCTGTAAAAGCTGATTAGAAAGTGGCCCATCTGGAGGCATTTGTCTTCATTTTTTAGCCATACTAAAGGCAACTTTGGACTGGAAAGTACAGTGTTTCAGCCAACCACAACCACCACAGTATCCTGCTAGCTTGGGCAGAATTGGGTAGTGAAATTTCTCTGGCAGCACAAAATGGCAGATGCCTCTGCTGCTGACACCGACCTTTACAAGCTCAAATCTCAGCTGCAGCATCTGCAGGTCACCACAGTATCTATCAGATAGTACAGAAAAAGTACAAATGAGTACATTGCTGACTCATGGCAATCAACTCAATGAACAAGAACACCTCTAAATGAAAATCTGGTGTGAAGATCCAAATAAGCCAGTTTCCTCCTCCTTTCACAGCTCCTGCATTTCTGGACAGTTGTTTAGTACAGCACACAGAGGTAAGGAGCTCTGGTCACAACACGCTCCTATTGTTGCAAAACTAGTTTCACAGACCCTGTAATAACCTCCATGTGAGCATAACAGAGGCCACAGCACTATCAATCATGGCTGAGCCATGTGAGAAATACTGTATTTTCAGACAAAGTAATGCTAACCTCAGTACACCACAACTTACATATTTCACACGTAGAGAAAGATCAATAATCTTGTTACACAGTGCATACTGTGTCCTGAAAAGGTCACTAAAATCGTCTGACAGCAAAGTGAAAACATCTCTGGAAAGGTTTATCACCTTTGCCTCTGAGAGATGCAGCACCACAGCAAATTAGAAAAGACAAATGTTTAAGAAGTAATCATCCCAGAAGTCACAGTATGAATGAAATGTACACGTAGAAAGAGACTCCAAAATTTCAGCTATGGGAAAAAAAAAAATTGTCCAACAAATAATGTGGTGAAATACAGAGTCACCAAGGTATTTTTTTCTCTGTTGATGTCAAAGCTCTTAATAATGATGAATGAACAGCATCTTCAGCACTCCATAGCTAAAGAAACAGACAAAGGCAGAGGTCTGGCCTAGTTTTTACAAGTGTTGGATGCTTGTCCAGACACTTAATAAGGACTGAGCACCTCAAATGTCAGGCTGCAAGAAGATGTGCCAGGTTCCTCCCAGGAAAG